GATCCCAGCCCAATTTTATAGGTCCTCCAAACATAATGTCGAGATCGACACGATAAGGGAACGTCTCAACTCGCTTAACGGAAAGAAAGCGGCACAGATGATGTGTAACATTACTGCAGAGCTGTTGTAAGGGAAAGAGCATAGAATCACCATCATTCTAAGTTCTTTGTGTAAGGCAAGCATTCGTGGTTCGTTACGATCTGTTTACATAACAATAGCAACTATGGCGCACGTCACCGTATGTTGCCAGTAACCACAGTGAAACACTTTAGAACACTTGAGTAAGGGTGACAGATAAGAAGTTTGTTGCAACGATCTTAATGAAATCCATTACCTCAGATTTTTCCGCCTCAGAGACACCCTTAAGTTAAATTACTGGAGGACTTTCATGCAAGCGGACACAGGTGGCGATTGTAAATGACGTCACCTGCAGAGGAAGCGTGGTTGCCTGAGCGTGCAAGTCCGAGCGTGCAAGCCTGGAGGTGCAAGTGCAAATCTGCAGCCAGACTCTATTGCCTAACTGAGCAAATAACACTTGATAACAGTTGTCATACACATGCATAAAATTTACTTCACATCATAATCATATTGTCTCCATTATCCATTAGTCATATGAACACCCCATTCTTTTTACCATTCTTTATAATGATTTTGAGGTGAATGAGAGTCAGTTAGTTGGCATATTCTGTACATATTTCTTCAAAATCACCTTACATTCCTGAAAACAATGGCATTGCTTCACAGCACCTCTGTCACTGCAAGTGTGATGGGAACAGTTGTTCATTTTAGCTCAGTGCCTGCATGAAAATCTTTGCATAAATAACAAAATAAGCTCCATATAAACATGCAGTGAATCATTGTTATGCAGCTTTTTCCCCAACCAGCTTGTGTTTGTGATTTTTATTTATTTATTTTTTTAAAATATCTTTCCTTCTTTTTTTCATCCTGGACAGGATCCAGTGCCTCCGAGTTGTCGATTCAGTGCACTGCGGAGGGCATTATGCTTCAGTGCCATATGAAATATTACACAGAGGAGATGAAGATCCATTGGAAACAAAAGTAGGCACATTTTCCACCCTCACTTGAATAGATTTCCTGGAATAAAAAAAAGATCCGCACATACCCGCTGAATATGAAATGCACACGTCTCTTCGTGTCCTCAAGGCATGATGACGGCTCTACACATAAACATGATTTTCAGATTTTGGTCTATAATTCTGGGTCGCTTTAGTGTGAGGTGTACAGAATAAATGATTATTGGACTACAGGAAATTATCGTGTTCTTCACTCTGCCGTCGACACAAAAACAAATCATTCTGATTGCAGTCGCTTCATGCCGTGCCCTGGAGTTGATTCAGTAGCATGTGAAATACTAACGTTGTGAGAAAAGCCTCTTCCTACTCACATGACTTCTCAAATCCCTGTATTAGCATTTTGAAGGGGCTATTCTGGGTTTTTCCTCCCTGTGTTGCACATTTTGAAATGCACGCAGAGCAGGTATTAATGCAGAAGGAATTTCACATTCAGCTTTGACACAAAAAAAAAAAAAAAAAAACGCCAACCATGTCCAATTTTACACCAGGGATATGCAGATTTGATGCCCCACTTTAAAAAGGCATGTCTAACGTTTACTGTATGGTAAAAAAAAAATAATAAAGGCAAACAATTCATCTTAAAATGAGATTGGGATTAAACCTGCCTGTACTGTAACATGTCAAGAGCATGGAAATACATGTGCTGTGAATTCTCTCTGATAAACACGTTCAGTTGAAGTCAAAATTATTGGCCCTCCTGTGAATTATTATTATTATTATTTTTTTATATTTCCAAAATTATGCTCAAAGGTGCAGTAGGTAATTGTCTTCAGAAATTGTTTTTGTTGTTGTGCTGGTTAAAAGTCTCTTCACATTCCAATAGTAATGATTAAAGCAGAAGCCATATCACCCTGCAGCCCAAGACCGGTAACTGAAGCTAAGCAGGGCTGAGCCTGGTCAGTACCTGGAGGGGAGTCTACATGGGAAAAATAGGTTGCTTTTGGAAGTGGTGTTAGTGAGGCCAGCAGGGGGCGCTCAACCTGTGGTCTTTGTGAGTCCTAGTGTCCCGGTAAAAGTGAAGGGGACACTATACTGTCAGTGGACGCCGTCTTTCGGATGAGACGTTAAACCGAGGTCCTGACTCTCTGTGGTCATTAAAAATCCCATGGCACTTCTTGTGAAAGAGCAGGGGTGTAACTACGGTGTCCTGGCCAAAGTCCCTTAATCGGCCTTTACGATCATGGCCTCCCAATCATCCCCATCCACTGAATTGGCTCTATCACTGTGTCTTCACTCCACCAATAGCTGGTGTGTGGTGAGTGCACTGGCGCCGTTGTCCTGTGGCTGCTGTCGAATCATCCAAGTGGATGCTGCACACTGGTGGTGGTGTGGAGAGACCCCCTCTCATGATTGTGAAGCGCTTTGGGTGTATGGCCATACACAATAAATGCGCTATATAAATACACATTACATTTACATCACATAAAGTAAATTATCTAAATGTAACTATATGTGTAAGGCATGCAGTAGCTCATACAGTTATAATTATAATGCATGTGCAAACATCACTCACATATTACTTGCTGCGTTTAAAGTGCGTAGAATTAATTACATTGAAACATAAATAACCAGGCTGATCTCACGAGAAAACGTAAGTATTTTACATTTTGCCAGTTTAGTGGCTAATTTGTACGAATTCGTACGAGTTCACTTGTACGAAATTGTACTATTTTAAAAAGGAGGCGTGGCACCCAACCCCACCCCTAAACCTAACTGTCATTGGGGGATGAGCAAATTGTACTAAATTGTACAACTGCAGTAGGAGACACTTTTAATATGAGCATTAACGTCACACCTTGTACCGCCGCCACTCTAACGCCCCATTCACGCGGGGCTTCAGCGTCAACGCTTGACTGAAGTTGGGGCCGAATCGATCGTCATAAAGCGTCAGCCAAAGAAATTCAGTCAGCAATAGGCCACTGTCTGAGCTGGTGTATTTGCATACAGCGATTTGATTGGCTGACACTTCCGTTGGCGCTTGAAAAGTTGAGCTAGTCCCAACTTCTGCAGCGAGCAACGCTTCTGAAGCGGTGCCGAATGATCCACAATGCAGTTCGACAATGCCTGACGTCACCCATTCAAAGTGAATGGGAAGCGTTGACGCTGACGCCCTGTGTGAATGGGGCGTAAAGAAGTAAGAACGTGTTTTTAGGCATGACCACAGTTTGTGAATATGCTGCCAGGGGGCACAAATGAACCAGGTACGAACGGACAGAAATAGCCTATACTTTGTTACTTGTAAATGATGATAAGACTATTATCATTAAAAACTTAACAAGCATTATTATCATTGTAAACTTCTTTAGTGAAATGAGGATTCATTTTGGAAAGTAAAACAAAAAAAGACAAAATACATAATAAAAGACAACTAATATGAAAGTACAAACATACATACAAATAAGTAGGCATGAATAAATAACTAAATAACTAACTAACTAAATAAATAAAAAAATAAATAAAGCTGTGTTTTATTTTATGTACATGGGTTATTTTAAAGTGAAAATACAGTCAATAAATAAGCTTTTTCATTTACATTTTCATTTACAGTTTTTATTTACATTTTTGTTGTTGATTATATTTGACTATCTCGCTTTGTCTCAATTGCTGTACATAAATAATACATTATTAATTAAATAGATCTAAATAATTAATAATTAAAAGACATTACCAGCAAAACACTTAGAAACAGTCCGATGCTATTTTTTTTTATATTGGCTTATTATAATTTTAAAGAAAGCTGCAATGTGGACTATATTGTTTTAATTCTAGCCTATATTATTTTAATTCATTTCTTTTGTCTCTGTTACTTGCAGTTCAATACACGTGCGCTGCACGAAATAAGAGAGAACAGGGCAATATTGATCTTTTTTATCATTAATATTTATTGTGAACAGTGTCTTGAAGATATTATAGTAGTAAGGTAGTAAGGTATTATGTACTGTCATCATGGCAAAGATAAAATAAATCAGTTATTAGAAATGAGTTATTAAAACCATTATGTTTAGAAATGTGTTGATAAATATTCTCTCTGTTAAACAGAAATTCTGACTTCAACTTGAATTAATGGGCGTTTTAAATTTGATTGCTCTTTGTGTTTAAAGGGAAGCTAAAATCAGTGCATCAGAAAGAATGCGAATTGGTGGCAACCCAGCAATGGCAACCCTGGAAGTAGTCGAACCTACTGATAAAGATAAAGGCATGTACACGTTTGAGATTGTGGATGCTGAGAAAACCCACACTCGTACCCTGGATCTTTCTGGACAACGTGAGTTGTTTGAATGTGTCACTTCTTAATATGAAGCTTAAGCTTTTTAAAGTTGCCAAAGGTAGCCTGATATGATTTGTTATTTGTTCTCCGATATCTGCATAGTATGTATGTGGCTTAAGTAAGAGAGAAAAATACTCCAGAAACTGTTTTAGAAGCACATTTTGAATCATAGATTTTATCTCTAAAAATCTGCAAATAAGCATTTTATATATCTTGTGATTCATGTTTTTTTTCACCCGTTTATTTATGCTTTAGAATTGTATTATGTGACCTTATTCTTTTAATCCTGAAAGGTTTGAAAAAAGTGACTTTTATTAATATTTTAATAGTTTAAAGTGATATATCGTTAGAGTTGGTGTTGTATATTATGGTACAAAAGCCTTGTAATTGACTGACAGTACATTTTGTGTTATTTTACAGACTTTTTTCCCTACAGTATATATTATTTTTGTAACACTTTACAATAAGGTTCATTAGTTAATGCATTTACTAACATGAACTAATCATAAACAACACATGTACAGCATTTATTAATCATAATTGAACATTTACTAATGTATTATTAACATTCAAGTCCATGCTTGTTAACATTAGTTAATGCACCATGAGTTAACATGAACTAACAATGAACTACTGTATTTTCATTAACTAATGTTTAATAACATGAATAAATACTGTAGTAAATGTATTGTTCATTGTTTGTTCATGTTAGTAAATGCATTACTTAACATTAACTAATGAATCTTATTGTAAAGTGTGACCAATATTTATTATACATTATAATATTTCAAACAACTAGAATGTTAATAAAACTCACTTTGTTAAACTATCGAGTTGAATTTTCGACATAACAAGTAGACCATGCAGATATCAAGTTCCTATAATGCAATTGGGAATCACAAAATACAAAACTATTAATTAACATGTACTTTTTACAGTGTAAGTTAGAAAGGTCTGATTGGACTATTATTAGGAAAGGTTATGAATATGAATGAGCTCTGCTCTTACACTCTGGCAGCTTAACTCAGTGCCTGACACTCACGCAAACAGTACATACACTGCATGATGCTATCTAAAATACACAAGCGTTAAGTAATCATACTTAAGTCGTCAAAAATGATTTGACCAAATTGAGTAGATTCCTCATTGAATGGCAATCTTTTCAACTGAAGTTGTAGAGAGGTTTATTTTAGCTAGAAAGTGTAAGTTATATTCATGCTACTAGAAAAACCTAGTTTGCTCTTAAGTTGTAAAATATATGATAAATTAAAATAATATTAAAAAAGGGACAGAGAGTGATGTATTGATAGTTGTATTTTGTGTGTTTAACATATATGAAACAGACAGGATTTTATGTCAGCCTCTGTATAAACAGAGGAGTTCTTTAGAGTTTATTGAGCTGAGTGATATGACACGATGCATAAACGTGCACTTATGTTAAGCAGTTTACATGTGTTTGATGCCTCATTACAAACATGAACTTGTGTCTGTTGCGTCATTACATACTGTACACATGCAGCAAATTTTACAATATATAAACTAACAAAAAAAAATAGTTTTAAACAGACTTAATGTCTCCTCAGGGAGGCATTGAATGAATTAATAATCCACATATCCTACATTTTGCATTTATTCAGTTATTAATATTCAACTATGCCTAGGCATATCCAGATTTTCATTCCATGGCACCTTTAATAACATTTGACCTTAAAATTGTCCTCTTTGTTGCTTCTGAATATAAATGATCCTCCTTGCTTAATAGTGAGAGTTAAGGTGGTAAAAAGTCACAGAAGGCTAAACAATGCCTATTTCAGCACAAAACAACCATAAATAAACATTATGAGTGGAGAAATTTTAAAAGGTACAATGCCTTTTAAAGGCAGTATTGTGAAAACAAGCCATTACTTTTGAGCCTAATTGAAAATCAAGTTATACATTTCAACAACAGCTCAAATGATTTTCAAACAGTGTTGGGTGTAATTAGTTAGAAAATAACAAGTTAATGTAATTAGATCACTTTTCGGCAGAAAAAAAGGTATAGTAAGGGATTACTTTTCTTATTCAGGTAATTTAATTACAGTTACTTATTATGTACTTGTTTATACTGTACATAAATTTAACAGTCCTGGATAAATCAAAGAAGCAGAGTAGTTAATGTATTAAGTACAATGAACATACATGAGAAACAATGAACTGAGTATGATATTAACGTCAATATATGATATGTATGGATAGGCATCGGCTGCGTAATAGCATATGCTGGATAAGTTGGCGGTTCATTCCACTGTGGTGACAGCTGATTAATAAAGGGACCAAGCCGAAAAGAAAATGAATAATATGCATGGAAAAGTAGCCCTTTTCACAAGGTGATACCGGTAAATAACCGGAAAAATTCCGGAACAACTTTACCAGTGAGTAAAAAAAAAGCGCTGTTCACACAGGCAAGAACATTCCAGAATTTTTCCTGAAAACACCATTCACACATCCATTCCAGAATATCCATAAATGCATTAACCAGAAATGGCCTCTAAACGGCTGTGCTAGTATTAGTAAACATAAAAAGGCTCAGGCTTTTGTTGACGGTTTCACTTTCATTTAAAGCTTTAGCATTCATGCAGCTGCTTTTGTCTCAGAGATATCCAAAGGCAGAAGCACTAACCGCAACTAAATGCTTACACATTTGACTACATTACAAATTCTGTAGATGGATAAGTATTGTGAACAACTTCGATGTAAAGATATGGAGGGAACACTTCCACATGTCGAGATGTACATTTGTTTGTGTGCTAGCACTCACCAGAGCACTTATTCAAATGCACAAGTGCCACGCAGCTGATCGCAGCTGATTGCAGTGAAGTAAAAGTGAAGTAAAAGCAAAAAATACTCCAGAAACGTTTTAGAAGCACATTTTGAATCATAGATTTTATCTCTAAAAATCTGCAAATATGCATTTTATATATCTTGTAATTCATGTTTTTTTTCACGCAGCTGATTGCAGCTGATTGCAGGGCTTGCAGGTAGTGGTTTATCATAAGCATTTTATCGATAATTTTTCCACAGATTGCATTAATAATGAACATAGAAACATTATCTGACTTACAACTAGCAGCTAAATGTGGCTGGAAAAATATTCAAGGCTTTTTATGAACAGCGCAGAACATGAACAGCGTGGATCCGTCTAAATGTTCTCATTGGCTGGAGTAGAAATTAGTGGAGAGTGGGAAATTAGTGTGGAGTAGTCTGATCACACATGAACTCTTTCTGAAAAATTGCTGGTAATATTCCGGAAAAGTCTGTATGTGGGAAAGGGGCTATTAAGTCATTGCTTTAAAATGTTTTTGTTTTGATAATGTTTATTATTCTTAAATGTTAAAGTCTTAAAATGTACTGCTTGGCTCCGATTTCTGTCGTTGTCAATTTTAATTTCTATTGTATATTTGGCGACAGTGTTGAGATTTTTATGTTTATTTTATGCGTTTATTCTTTCAGTTATTAGTGTTTATTTGAGTAATTAAATTACTTATTGAGTAACTGAGCTACTTTTAAACTTAGTAATAATAATAAATTATTTTAAAATATTAATTAATTAGTAATTAATAGGCTTAGTAATTAGTAAATCTGAAAATTTCCACAGAATTGTAGTCCATCATTTAGTCTATTTTGTTTACTTGTGTAAACATGTAAATTTATATCTCTTCAGTTTTTTTTTTTTATTAATTTCAGTAATATTATTGACTAATATAAAAGTGGTCATCTGATTTATTTACAGTACAGTTTGTAAACTAATATTTTCTGTCTGTGGGAACCTATGGGTTTGGAGCCACATGTGGCTCTTTGACCAAAAATATGTGGCTCTCCAGCTGTCTTTCTTCAATAATATTTTAAAGTTTTAAAATTTATAACTGTGACTAGAAATCAGTTTCCTATTGAAAATACAATTCAAATTCCCTTTTGTGTTTTCTACAGCAAAATAAATAAGAACTCAGTTTACAATAAAAGGACTTTTTAACCAATGCGCATATGTGATGCTGTGGTTCAACGTAAATCGTGACACCAATAAAGGGCAAAGAACTTCATTTATATGGTAACCTCGTGTATGTAAATTCAAACAACATTCATTAGTGGCGATTGCAAAAAGAAAAAAAAATCTATTAATTCCCTTTATTCTTACATTGTGTTGCGTTATATTTGTTTATTTCTGAGTAGTGCATAAACATAAATAAAGTTTTTATTTATTAATAAATAAAGATTTTGTTATGTAAAAAAGCCCTAATGGCTCTTTTAAAAAATACATTTGATAAAAATGTCAGAAATGGCTCTTTGCTAAAAAAAAGTTTCCGACCCCTGATCTTGATGGATTTGCATTATAGACATTAAATAAAAGTTAAAAAAGATATTAATTTAAGTTTCAAGATATTCAAATTTAAATCAAAATAAATTTAAAGATATCAAGATAAGTTTTGGTTATGATACTCCCAAACTAATTCCGCTTAAATTCACAGATAGCCCTAGTAATTAATAATTGAAATAACTTTCCCAACACTGTTTTCAAATCACCTCAAGAATCATGGATGAGAAACATCACATCAACGCAATATGGAATGACATGACGGACTGTCATATTTGTAATTTTCTATCAACACACATAAAATGTCATCTATAACACGTGTTCTGGCATTGATCCTGTGTGGATGTAGTCAAAAAGGCCAGCACTGCAGCTGCACACACTGGGAGATCCAGGCATGAAAAAGAGCAGTTATAGTATCAAAGGTGCAGATACTGGCAGCGGTTTCAGTTAGTCAACAGACTGTTTGATGACAAACATAATCAAGGGCTGGCATCTGACAGGTCATGCGATTTGCCGAATGGTGACAGTAATGAGTATAGGGGAAGTAGAGCTATTTCCAGCAAAGCAGGAAAACAATGCTATTAAAATAATGAGGGCTGATTTTCCTTTTATGCTATGCCTCAGGGACAAAACGCAACGAACTGAAAGACAGTGAAATTTTTTTCTTTAAAAAAAAAATTTATTTGTGTTCTTAACTTTTATTTATTCGTTCATTCACTTTGTTTCCCCCATAGTCTACGACAACGCCTATGCAGAATTCCAGAGACTCAAGTAAGATATCTGGTTCCACCACATGGGTATCCACATCCTAAATGTTTTGAGATGCAAAGCATGTGAGCTGTGTGTCAGTGTTTGGGTAAAATATTAAGGTCTGCTAATGAACTCAACTATGCTATTCTTCTTTTGCCCTTCAGAGCGGAAGCATATGCTGAAAAGAGTGAGTATACTCAATCAGTACCAGCACTCTTGGGGGTCCTGCTTTGATATGTAATTAAATTCTCTTAAATTAACTTTGTGATGTTTTTTAATTGTCAGATCGTGGCAAAGTGGTTGGCGGTCTTCCTGATGTTGTGACTATCATGGAAAAGAAGGTTTGTTTCAGCCATAGCGTTTTGAATAATACATCACAAGCCACACAAAAATGATTTGTGATATAAGTTAGCACTATATTTATTTGTCTATCTGTATATGTGCGCTTGAAATATAAGAGTGTATTTATACAAAACTAATTTAATTTCATTCAGGATTTTAATGTATTTTATTTTTTTTTTTACAAAAAAAATAACTTTA